TGATGACTTTATCCTAAGACACATCTGTTCTTGGAGTACGGCAGAATGTTGTCTCATCATTGGGGACTTCAACGCACCGCATATCAACTGGATAGAGCTTACAGCTCCAGGTAGTGGTTTTGATAGCGACCTTTTATCTACCGTTATTCAGTGTGCACTTGTACAATGTATCACAAAACCGACACATATTGATTTGCAACATAATTCGTCACTGCTGGACCTCGCCCTCACCCACCACTGTGAGGATGTCTTTGATATTCAGCACGTTCCCCCACTAGTGAACAGTGATCACGTTGTAATTCACTTTAGGTTTAGGACACATGGTATACAATTCGTATCTGCTCCACCCCGTCCCAATATCTGGCGAGCTAATATTCCGGAAATCAGAAACCTTGCTATCTCGACCGATTGGTCGGTCGACGCGGATGGATTGATCGAAGATGAATGGAATAAGTTTAAGGCTACATTCGAGTCCGTAACGTCGCCGTTTATCCCATGGTCAGCACGTAAGCTATCACATTGCCCTCCATGGATTAATAAGGAAACCCGGAAGCTGTTAAATCGTAGGAAACACTTCTGGGACTTATTCTTCTTGACAAGCCACACATTACTTAAGCGTGAGTATCAAAAATACCGTAATATCTGTACGAACACCATAGCAAAATCCCGTCCCACTTACGAACGACAGTTAGTACATGATAGTCGTACTTGTCCGAAACGATTGTTTTCGTATGTTAAACGGCAAATGAAACGTAATGATGGTATTCCCCCTTTACTGTTACACGAAAATTCAGATTTACTAGCTGAATCAGATCGAGCAAAAGCTGAGACTTTTTCAGATTATTTTAGCGAAGTCTTCTCTACGTTTATTGTAACAAATACTTGTCCCACTCACACGGAGATACCAACCATTGAATCTGTACAGGTGACTGAGGAAACTGTCCTTCCGTTGATAACTAACCTCAAACCTGGTAAGATACCGGACCCTGACGGATTACATCCACGGTCGCTATCATCTCTTGCGGACATTATTTCGAAACCGCTTGCGACACTCTTCAACATGTCCCTCTCACTCGCTCAACTCCCTAGAGATTGGAAGGACGCTATAGTTAGTCCTATATTTAAGGACGGTCAGTGACAGATCGTATCTAACTACCGACCTGTTAGTCTAACTAGCATAGTCGTTAAGTTACTTGAAAAGATCATCCGAATTAGGTTGCTAAGCCACATAGACTTACACAATCTGCTAGCTCCTGAGCAACACGGATTTCGTAACAAGCGTTCATGCTGGACTAACTTGCTTATTGCGAGGGAGGATTGAACAGCAGCCCTAGATCATGGTCTGTCTGTCGACGTGATATTCATAGATTTTAGCAAAGCATTCGACAAGGTTTCACACGTAGGTCTTACGCAGAAGCTCACGAGCTTCGAAATAATAGGTACTGTACATGAGTGGATAGGAAATTTCTTATGTGACCGCAGACAGAGAGTGAGGATCAACGGAACACTATCCGATCGGAAGCCGGTCAAAAGTGGTGTACGTTAATGAGCGTGTCCAGCGTGTGGGAACGAAATTAGTGAAGGGTCTTTCTAGACTCCCTTCGATGAGCGCTTAAAACGCCTAAATCTTTTCCCCTTGTCGTATCGTAGGACACGAGGTGACCTTATACTGGCATTTCGTATCTTTAATTATGATTTGGGTGTTAATATGTCTTATCTTTTTGCTCCCTCCAGCACTAATAATATCCGATGTCATAGCAAGAAGGTTCATAATCTACGATCTAATAAACTTAAAGTGGGATCCCGTTTTTCTCATCGAGTAGTCAATCATTGGAACGCCTTACCCGAACAATTGGTATCAGCCCCATCAGTGAATACTTTCAAGGAAAAGCTGGACCTTCACTGGAAAGCAATGTGTCAGGATTAACACAGGTCCATCAACCTACTATCCTTATTACTGAAGACTGAAGACTGAAGTACAGTGGGATTAGTGGAATATAATCCAGATGTATCATATGGCACATGACCTGCTTTATTGCAGTATAACACTACTAGTTTTCAGTGACAACCCTTAATTAAGGGTCAACCCACTAAGGATATGAAATGAAAAAGCCTGCACCAAAACTCAAGCACACGTTTGTGGTTAGTAACAATGCACTAAGAAACTCCCGACCACTGACGATGGCAATAGCAGTTGACGAAGTTTCTTTTAAAGGACAGATTGGCTTATACTCTGATTGTGTATGGGTTGTGAGTGGTTACTCTGCGTTAATCCATGGTCGCTGCTACTATTGCCTAATCTGCTTTCGCTCATGCAGTTTCAACAAGGAATACATCGAATAGAACACTTCCATACTATAGAAATACATATCACAAGGAATCAACAGTCTGCCGATTCCTCTCGGCAAAGTTTGATGTTTGGGCCAAAATGACCATATTGTAATGGGTATTTAGGATAGTCAGGTCAACCTAATTTTCATAGTAAAAATATACCGCTTAGTTTGATTAGCTGGATGTGACCTTGGCACATGTAACTAACTGGTCATTTCAGGAATGTTTCATTGTAGAAGTTGGCATTCAGTTTATATACAAGGCTTGGATTAGAGTAACTTTAATACCTAGTCTTTTACAAATGAATGTTTATCAGTTCCAAGGACAGCATCGCACTATGATTTACCAATTTCTTTTCCTCTTTTATTGTTAACATACCTAGGTTCCTGCCTGGAGGATTTGGTGATCCCCTGCTACTAGACACGGAAGCCTGTTAAGCGAAAGCTTCTTCTATTCCGTCCACAACCATTTGAACCATTTGAACCTTCTCACTGCTTCAGAATTCAACAGGCGGTTTCATGCGTTATTCGACATATCTTCCATAACTTCTGCGATAAACACCAAGTTATGGTCTGGTGTTATAAGATAACGGTGTTTTTAAGATGTAAATGGATGTGATGGTTGGTTTCAGTACCTGCACATCATCACAGTACCTATTAGTCGGTGAATCGCTGACAACTTGACTTATCTGAAGCTTGATTTATTATGATTATCCTTCAGATTTGATGTTATATTCTTCACACTAACTGCCGTTTTAGTTTCACGTCGACTCAACCGACTCTCTGGTCGGCGTGAGGTGCTTTAAGTATCCTTCGTGAACAAATCCTACTTATAGTCACTAAATCAAATATATTCGATTTGATGATTACCCTTGTTGATATTTTCCTTTGTGCAGAATCAAGTCTTTCATGGTTGGTTTTATCTGTGTCAGCCGTGTAGTTCGACATAACAGGTTGTAATTTCGAATGACTAAGACATCTTAAGAAATCAATATCTCGACCGTAATATTTGGCAGCTTAGTAATTTTTTGTATGCTTTTTTAAATCTAAGCGGATGATATTTTACATATAAACTCCAGTCTCTTTTTTATGAAGAAAATCAGTTACCTGTAATTCTAAGTTTTATTATCTGACTACTAACCATCGTTATTGGCAACGCTCGTATAAAGAAAAGTAGACCAAGCAGTATTAGAATGTGGTATATGGTTTGCAAGTCTGATAAAGACCTGGAGTGACTTTCTTCCAGTATTCATTTCTAGGAAATAACAGTTTTTAAATACAAAATGAACTGTCTACCCATCATCGTTTCAGATATACCAGTGTGGCTTTTAAAAAATCTGGGGAAAACATTTATTTTCGCTGTCTGTTTTGAAATGACAAATATCCGGAAACTCATCTCCCTGTGTTTAAAAAGGCGAAGTCCTGCCAGTAATTTTGATCAATAATTGGACTCGTAGTGAAGTGACTCAGACGCATCCATTCCTTATTTTCTGGGTTTCGGGTTTCGTTGTTTCATACCTTCTATTCCACAAATATATTCGTACATTTTAAAACTTATGTTATAATTGTGGATAATAATCAATCTTCATGGGATAAATAAATGAAAAATATTTCCTCAAGTTCTAGTGGACCAGTGGCTTAGTGATTAGGACGTCTAATTCTCCCCTCCTAAATCACAGGTTCGAACCCCGTTTCACGTACTTCTGTTTTAGTAACCATGTGTTACCAGCCCTCACACTTAAAGAGTAACACACCTAAATACCTAGTAAACGAGCTAGTAAGGTGAGTAGGTATGGTCAATGGGGTTACTATTTTTGACTTTTTTGTTTATCTTGTTGATTCCTCTTCACTGTATCGATATAGTTTGTGAACGTATACTGATACATTTTTATCTTAAGTTCTATCTTAATTTTGGCTGATTCAAGCGTTGAAAAGTAATATCATCATCAATATAACCTTAATAAGAGTTTGAGTGATTTCATATTCATCGCAAACTAGTTTTGAAACTCCTAAAGTATTTATATCTTGTTTGGTTCGAAGTGGGAGAATTGTTGATAACATTTAGTGTTCTGGGCAATAGCTGTATAAAACTGGCATCTATAGATTCATCACTACTTTCTGGTTTGGTTTTTTCAATTTTGCATCTCAGTAGTGTTGAATGTTAACAGGGATGACATAAAATAGAAGCCTGCTAGAATCCTGCGGTTGTATTTTACTATGTTCTTCGTAAAAGCTGAGTCAGTCTCCCAATTGAAGTGCATCTCTCACTAGCTACCGTTCATACCTACTTATTCATTGATTTTGTAACTCTCTGTCTTTCACAATACTACCATCCCACCTTGTTTAATACACTTTTTTGATGTAATATACCAAAATTTTTGTAACATTGGTAAACTATATATTGTTATCGGATGTTTGTGTTATACAAGTTCTTGTATGTGTTTTGTTACTCCTATTTATTGCAATACCTGGTTCTGACGTAATAACTTTATTATAGTGATGCATTAAGATAAGTATGATTGTGTTTCTTACAATTCGTAACTTTCTAAATAATTTCTTTGTATATCTTGTAGATATTGATCGTGTTACTCTTGTACTTATTTTATACCGGGCTTGACTGATCCTGTATTGTTCAGAACCTATTTGATAGGATTATTTTGTCAAACCCTAATGGAACAACCTTGTGTCAAGTCTTCTCAGCACCGTTTAGATGACTGGTTAATTATTCTCAAAGAACATCATATTTTAAAATCTCTTGGCGAAGAAAGAGAGGCGTTTGAAAGAAGTTTAGAACTTCCAACAATTCCTGAAATGATATTCGATCAAAATTCCCTATCAATTTGTTTCTGTCAACCAAATAATGAACAAATATGCAAAATTGAATTTAATGCACTTGATGCTCTTAAATTAGTCGACCCAAAGAATATAACTATAGAGGTGAGTTACTTAATACTAATCTCAACACACCGAAGGTACCATTTGCAAAGGACTGGAGAGATTCTCGAATTACTAATCAAGAAGACATACTGCCACATAAACCATATGACTGGACTTTCACTACTCCGTATACAGGCACTTTGTCTGGTGAGTTTTGTTTACGTTTATATACTCTTCTCCGTCATAGCATCCGTGTCGTCACCGTTCTAGGGAATTGTTTCGGAAGTTTCGTGAATAACGAGCACGTTTTGGGGTTTCTAAAACAAATTATTGAAATTTTGACTGACAGATGACACCATGTGTTCAAACGATAGCTTTTCATGAGGCCAAATTATTGGTGCAACCTCCCTTAAGTAAATGGTTATCAAAAGACAAGAATGTTAGCCAGTAGGAACAGTTCTTTTATCTGTAAAACATGGTCGTTTATGAAATATTATATACAAGGATAAACGTAATGAGATTTCTGTTAGCAAATAAATCATCGAAGGATATGTATAGATAGTCACTCTGCTTAATAAAATTATGATCTTACTGTCGGGCTTAATTCTTGCACGTTACGTAAATTTGAAGATAACTCATGGTGTTTTCCAAGTCCTAATTCGTGTTGTTCACCACACAATTCAGATGTGACTGATGAGGTTTTACATTTTTCACCCAAGTATATCAACTTATAGGACTGTAATCAATAGCACGATAGTATTCCATTTGGTTATATGACAATGTGCACTCAGTTTAAATAGCTTGACAATGATTTCGTGATTGGTAAATTACTTTCATTATAGGTCCCTGGAGTATATCTCCAACTTCTGAGGGTTTAGATATGGAGTATTTACGTCGGAAAGATCCTATTCGCTTTTTTGTCAATACAACGCTATATGAAGATGAATTAGGTGATAATGGTGTATCTATTCTGAATATAAAGTTTCGTGCAATGTCTTCTGGTTTCTTTTTATTACAACGTTTTTTCTTACGTATTGATGGTGGACTAATACGAGTGTATGATACTCGACTACAATGGCGTCAAAATGATAGGTAATTTTGAACTTAAGGTATATTACATCTTATTTTGTTACTTATATTTGTATTATGGCTAATTAAAATCTACAGTCATCACCTAAATTATTTTAGAAAATTTAGCAGTTATGAATCCAAGTCTATGGATTCATACACCATACATCATTTTCAAACGAATATTATTTATTGTAATAGCCGAGTTCATGAGTCGATCTTAGCTAGACCACCACTGAAAACCTGGGAGCACTGCACGGCTGTTTTGTCCTAGTACGAGACTCCTTGGCCGTGATATAGAGGTTAAGCGTTCATGTGAAATCGATTTTTTAGATGTTTTAAGTATTAGCATCTGGTTTTTATGTTATGTATTCAAATTCATGCTTAAGTTAACACAGAGTTGCTGAGTAGCAAATAGACATTGACTTTTGGGAACAAATGTGAGTTATCTAGAGGTTGAACGGATGTACATACGTACCAGGTTCTACGTTCTGATTGACTGAGAGGTTGATTTGCATAAGTTTACAAAAGATAATTCCCATGTCACCGATATTCGTGGTTGATCACGCAGACGCTTATCTTTTATGCCTGGAAATACAATCTAAACATTTAAATTTCAGAACAGCACCATAACATCAAGTATGTTTGTTTGTGTTCATTTCTGGTATATATCATTGGTTGTATCTAAGATCTAATCCAGTGTCAACATTGTTTCCTTTGGCGTTCACTTTTTACCCTGATCGAGTCATCTATCCCAGCAAAAACAGCAGCTATTGACTAGTATCTACCCAACGCAATACTGATACCATATTGTTCCTGTATAAAGAGACATAAAATATACTTTTATAACCAGAAAATAGGAGGTGGATTCTCTGAAATTTGGACCATTAAAGACGAGTTTATGAAATACAGCATACTTCAATGGCTATATTTTCTATATTCTAACCTAAACTTTCATCAACTTTCCCTCTCCAGTGATGTGTTGTGACAACCTAGTAAAATGTAAAGTGAAACATTTACCATCGATATTAAAAAAATAAGATAATGTAATGCCTGTGATTGCTTGAAACCATCAATTACTCGTAACACATTTCCATATATTTATCTGAACGATATAAAAATCAACATTCTCTTTTATAAAGTAACTGTTACTTAAAATGGATGGAGAATGCTGGTGATCGGCCTTTGCTCATCCACGAGGAGTAACAGGCGTAAGTAAGTAAGCAAGTACTTAATACGAAACATCTATATAACTGCTTCCTCAAATTATTCAATTAGTATTGTGTGGTATTGTTTCAAGAAATTTGTAAATATCAGCAAATAATCTTCTACTTTTTTTTAATCCAGTTATTTAATTCGTGATATACGCCGAATGGAAAGTTCATCTTGGAGAGAAGATATGGTTGGCATCAGTTTAGAAATAGCAGATCAACTATGTGATACAGTTATAGAGCATTATACTGAAAAACTTGTACCACCATATGTAAATTCACCCTAAAATTATCAATAATTTATGTAAATAGTATTATGTGTTCAATTATTTCTATCGAATTGTTTGTTATACAAGTTTGTAAATTATTGAACATTATTTCTACACATTATATTTGTTTTTCATAATCAAAGTGGTTGATTAGTTCAATGAACTATATACATTAGAGTATTAACGTGGATGCGCACTACTGAGGAGTCTCATACTACGACGAAACGACCGTCCAGTGCTTCCACGTTTTCCATGGTGGTCTAGCTTCAATCGACTCATGATTTCAACTATTGAAATTACTAAAATCCCACAAAACCCCTTCTGATAATAATCATCTCATTAGTGACTGACCTCAAGATGCATTTTCTGAATTTCTAGTGAGAAGCCATGACCAGTGGAGTCCAACCGGTTCTGTTGTGAGATATCAGCTCACTGAAGACAATGGTGAACGGTGGTGCAGTTTCGTGGATTGGTTGAAGTTAGACATTAACACCGTTTGATGACAGTCGGCTCAGTGGTCTAGTGGTTTAAGCGCTCACGCGCGAGATTGATAGGTCCTGGGTTCGAATCTCGCGGGGTGGGGCGGGATCGTGGATGCGCACTGCTGAGGAGTCCCATACTAGGACGAAATGGCCGTCAAGTGCTTTAAGGTTTTTCATGGTGGTCTAGCTTCAATTGACTAATGATCTCAACTATTAAAATTACTAAAATCTCCATAAAACCCCTTCTGATATTGACGTTTTAGTTGACCACTTCATCTAAAATAATCTATCTTCTTCAACCTAAATGATTGAACAGTATTGTCAGTCTTCTAATCATAATACATGTAAGTTTTGGAATACCTAACATTGAGTTTAGAAAATCCATTTTAAGATAGTCATTCTTACACCTTAATGTCAACTAGAAAACCAGCTAAAATTAGATGTAGCTCTGTATATATTCCTTTCTAACTTTAAGTTTCTCATCTACAAACACCTTACTAAATTACTTGGAATGGAAATTAGGACCTCCACGTTGAATGACTATCAGAATAACTAAGTTTAAATAGTGTGTTGTAGTTCGCATCTGTTGGAGGTGTTAGATCCGCAGAGCTCACTAGGGTAATATCCTATTTTTGTAATTCCATTTTAAGAATTTGAATTTCTTGTTTTTGCATCAAAAGCGCTTATTTTTTTACCTTTATGTCGTATTTCCTACTTGTGAGGATCTTAAACGCTATTGGTTGGTTGTATCCTTTAGTACGCTATTTTGTGGCGCTTCTCAAGGACATTCTTATGCTGTATATCATACGCTTGATTTGTGTTTGCTGTTGTTGTTCGTGCTTCTGGTTGCTTGTGGAATGTATTTCCTTCTGAACTTGAACGTCTCCCTCTAGTTAGCGGGGCTGGGACGCGTCGTGATAGCTAGCTCATCTGTCATTTTGTCACAGTCTTCGTTCTGTTTTCAGATTAGGTGAACTAGTAATCTGTTCAAACATAGCAACATCCTCAATTTTATAATAACGATCATCCAGTTTCATCAGTGATACGTGTATCACTTCCGGCATGTTCGGATTCTGTCTGTTACTAGTTCGTACTAGGACTTCTATAATCCATCTGAAATTTTGTCAATGATATGAGTTAACACCCATAAACCATCTAAGTATACACTATAGACTAGTTATTACGTTGGACCCATTCATCACATTTGTTGTGGAGACGACATTCTCAAATGCAACAGATGAAAAAGAAAATCAATATTAAGATTCACATATTGTTTTTAAGGTGATTTCTGTACAGTCAGCTGTCAACGCGATTTCGTCGTATTAATTTATTCACATTAAATTTTGTTCATTAACAACCTGTGTATTTTTCAGTTGTAATTGTTTACTTTTCAATGCGTTTTTGCCTTGTATTAATTAATTCACTGTGACTTCGTACTGTATAATAGTTGCCCAGTTCTGTAATTAATAACCATTGTATAATGGATGTATAATTGAACTAACTTGGATATAATCCAATTCTTCTGAAGTTTTTATCTAAAGCTTTTATATAAACTTGAACGTCTTACTCTAATTAACAGACAATGATGAAAAAGATAGAAACAGTCTTGTTAATCATGTATAGAGGTTGTAATTGAAAATAATTAGCTATGTAAATAAACATATTATACTTCAACTGAGTTCATTGATCCTCATTTAGTAGAAACTTGATGGAGGTAGTCAACAGGGAACTCTGGACCTAAGTTTCATGCTACTTAGCAGCCGTCAGCAAGGTGTACCTGTAATTTTGAGGGAACTGACGGATCCGATCCCGTGTCATCCAGCTTCACAGTCAGAGACGTTACCAATGAGCTGTCTGGGCTGCAACCGGTTTGTAGGACTGTGATGTATTTACAATTGATTGATCACCGGGTGGTGATCAATGTCATGTATGTCAGGTCCTTCTTAGTGCAGATCAAGTCCTATTGACCAAGTTGCAATGTGGTTTCCTGTTGGCTACCTCCAACTACCATCTGATCTCAACATAGTGCACGCAGTGTCGAGTCACCTAGGCTGGTGGCCACATTGCAACTTAGTCGATAGGATTCAATCTACACTAAGAAGGACTTGACTTACATGACATTGATCACCACCCAGTGAAACATTCATACTATAAGTATTATTTCTACTTTGGAACTCAATATTTCTGAGCAAAGATATTCGGTCGATCGATGAAACTATAAACCTTCCCTGACCTACATAATTTTAGCATATATTATGCATATTCAGCCGCAATCTGTCCAGATGACCAACATTGTCTGTTATACAAGTAGATTGGAAAAAATATAAATAGAGTAGTTCATGGATTTATTGACTGCTGGTCTGAACCGTGCTCGGAGATGCATATTCCCTGATTAGAGATATCGATTGGTATTACCCTAAAATTTCGAGCTTGATATATACTAACTTACGGACTAGTTATGAACAGTGTATCCACGTTATTTTGAACTGTGAATGTTTGGATACAAAACATTGTTACTTCATTGATAAAAGTATGCTTTAGGGATCAAGAAGAGGACATTTAGATTGGTGCGCGAAATTCAACACACCACATACATCAACCATCAAACATTCTTCTGGACACTAATTAAAACGTTTGAAATGATAGCGAACAATTATTTCCTACCATCATAGAGTCAAATGATGATAGTGTTTAATGTATCAAGTGTCTAATTCTGTTCCCACAGATTGTACATAACAGGCAAATTGACACTATCCCTAAATATCAACTCTAAACCCTTAATTAATCCTGAAGAAAACCTTAACTTGATCGCCCTCAATCTTATCAACAAACTAATCAGATGTCACCTCTCATACTTTTCAATGAATTTTATTCATTAATGACTTGGGAATGATTCAAGATTTTAGGTAATATCAATTCATGATGAAAATCCTGTCCTTAACTCGGAAATATGTGGGTACTATTCAAAATGTGTTTGTGTATTCTTAAGGATAAACAATGCTAATCCATCAGACCAAGTTTATATATTGTTATTCTTTCGATTTATAAGCAGAATAACTTATAGAATACATTAATAGATTAGCTACTTCTATATAATTTGTTATCACTTTACAATATTATTACTTTATTTCTCCTAAACTCTTCATCTATAAAAGCTATTTTTTTGATTAACTAAAAAGTCTCTCGTAATTTGTAGTTGTTCTAAACTCATCACTATACTATACTGTTCCCATTTTGTTGAACAGCTGAAGTTATCTATCCATATTACTTGATACTTAAATTTTTATTCTGAGTATAATCCGTATCGAGCATAGAAAGGTATCTACCTCAGTACAATGGAAGATGGTCGCGCGATTTCGCGGATTGGTTGATGTTAGACACGCGCGCGAGACTGAAGGCCCTGGTTTCGAATCCCGCGAGCGGGATCGTGGTTGTGCACTGCCGAAGAGTTCCAAAATAGGTCGAAACGGCCTTCCAGATCTCCAACAGTGGTCTAACATCAATCGGTTCACGATCTCAATCAAGAAGTGGAACATTTCAAAAATGTGATTAAACTAGTTTGATGATCATGAAGTTCGAACATATTGTTCCCAATACATATAACTAAGGTCATAAATTATTGATGAGAAAGTCTTAAGAGTTCAGATTTCCAACGGTGGTCTAACATCAATCGGTTCATGATCTCAATCAAAAACTTAATAATCTCCATAATCCCTATATTGATAATTATTTTTCATTATTGGATGTTTCAGAAAAAAACTGTATTCAAGTTATAATTGTTATTTTAATGGTACTATTTCTCAGTGTTTATTAAGAATATTTGAAACAGAAAATTTTATCAATGGATAGATTGTTTCATCTTGGAAATTATTTGTAGGGTTACTAAGAGATTTATGATGTAATCTATCATCAAGAGTTGGATATAGTGTTGTTGCTGTGGTTGTTATTATTGTTGTTGTCGTCGTCGTTGGTGGTGGTGGAGAATGTGATGCAGCTTGTCGATAATCTGCTAAAATAAGATTTGATGATTGTTTATTATTTATGGTAGTATTTATATTGGCTAGATTAATACAATTAGTATTTTCGAATAGATTGGTTGTAGTTGTCATATTTATGGTAGGTAAATTATTGAATTCATTAAGCTCTGCATGTATATCCAATTTATTTTGTTTCATCTATTAATAAAACATAAATACACATTAAGAAATAAAATGATCTTAGTATGAAATTTATATTACACTCTGTTTTATGGAAATGAGTTTAACTTGTAAGTTGTATTCGTCAGGGATTGATCCCGATTTGGGTGTTATTAAAAAGTAAATGAACCCAGGATCTTCATGTCATGCAGTTAACTATTGATTATTAAAACTACTAGGTTGACATTTATTCATGTAATATCGACTTCAATCAATTTGCGATAATAGTACAATGACCATTTAATGTAATTGGTGATAACTGTTTCACATTTGAGATCTCTAAATTCTACCAGTCATGACTTCCTACCAGAACTTTGGGAAAATCTTAATCTACTAGTGA